GCAACATCGATCTGGAATCGGCAGTACATCGCTGAGTTGGCGAATCCGCGCTGTCCTGGGTGGGTGGGGTGAGCCACGACGCCCCCCCTATCTGCGAGAAGTGAGCAACGAGTGTGATCGATGCGTTGCGTCCGCTTCGCTTACCCCCCTAACGCAGCCCCCGAACACCTCTGGACCGCCTGCCCAGGGCTGGCTTCTTGCCCCGAGCAAGCTCTGAAGGCGTTAGGGCCCAGAAGCAGCCCAAAAAATGATCCCACCCCCTCGGGGAGACAAACAAATTCCGATACGGTTGTTCTCCAGTCTTCTTCCCAGGCGCGCCTGGACCAGCAACTCGGGGCGGATCTTGGCGTAGCGACGCGACCAGGGCAGGGAGGGGGGTAGCAGTACCGATCAGAATGAGGGGGCCGAACAGACACTCAATGTCCCTAAGCGAGTGCGTGAAGTGGGGTTCCGTGGTGCTGATTGCTGTTTCATTGATATTAGTGTAGTCGTCCTCGCCCGCGACCCCCACGCGACCCCCCCGCGATCCACCCCGCGACCCACCCCACGACCCACCCGTGACCCACCCGCGACCCACCCGCGACCCGCCCCGCGCCGACCCCTCGCTCTTATCTGCCACTGCAGGGTGCTACGTAGGTTTTTCTCCTCTGACCCCCGGCGCGGTTTGTGAGCGTTTTTTATTCGGCGTTTCGACATTGGGCGGAAGGAGGGGGGGAAGGGGGGGGGTCTGGCTCCAGACCTCTGCTTAGTGCGACTGTTTGGAACCGTGCGTCATGTGGGGGAGACTCCACGTGCTTGAAACAGGCGCCAAAAACAGGCAAGAAGATCTACTCCACGGGGAGGGTGGAGGGGGGGGGGTGCGAGGGCCTGTGCCGATCGGTAAAACAAAAAAACGATCACCTCCTCCCCTGCCTCGCCTGCGCTCCTCCTGGCGAGCCCTTCCTGCTCCCAGCGAATGGCGTTGGGGGGCAGGCCAGCGGAGAGAGAGAGAGAGGGAGACCGCCTGCAGCAGGAACTACGAGAACCCTCCTCGCCCTTCTCGTGCTCGCCGTCCTCCTCCTCCTTCTCCTCCTCCTCCTCCTCCTCCTCCTCCTCCTTCTCCTCGTCCTCGCCCTTGTCATCGCGTCATCGTCCGCGTCCACGTGCTCGTCCTCGTCCACCACCTCCTCCTCTCCCTTCTCCCACTCCTCCTCCTCCTCCTCCTCCTCCTTCTCCTCCTCCTCCTCCTCCTCCTCCTCCTCCTCTTCCTCCTCCTCGTCCTTCCTTTGGGGTCTCTGCCGCTGTCCACGTCGCCTTCCCTGTCTCCGTCGCCGTCTCTCCTCCATCCTTCTCCTCCTCCCCGCCTCTCCGCCTGCCCCTGCATCTGCACCTCCCCCTTCTCGCCATATCGCGCAGATCCTTCCTCCTCCTCCTCCTCCTCCTCCTCCTCCTCCTCCTCCTCCTCCTCCTCCCTCTCCTCCTCCTGCTCCTGGTCTTCGACATCCGCATTGTCCTTGTCCTTGCATTATTGCCTCCTTGCCTCCACCCTCTCCTCCTCCTCCCGCGCGTCTTCTGCTCCCCCGTGCTCACACACCATATCCTTGCCCCCCCAAGTCTCATGCCCTCCTGCAATTCCTCCGCTCCGCCACTCTTTACTCTTTCCCCACAGCAGTTCTCGCGCTCCACCCACCCCTCCCCTTGCCATGTGGGCGGATGTTTTCGCCAAGATTGCTGCGGCCGATTTCCTTGGGTCCACCTCAGTGGTCAAGGCCCACAAATTGTCTCTGCTTCGGGCCCAGGACACGATGCGGTGTCTGGCCTGGGCGACCGAGCGTGTGGCCCGCCTCTCCACCCCGTTCCTCCGAGCGCCTCCGAAGGCCGCGGTTCGGCCCCGACGGCCTCGGCGACCAACCGATCACGATTTCGTGGCCTTCTCGGGCGGCGCGATTCGTGATCGAACCTGCTGGAGGCAGGCCTCGACTACCTCGTCGCTGAAGTCGGTGGCGTCCAGGGCTTGCGATCCCCAGGAGGTCGGGCCAGGACACCAGGTCCAGGCCCTAGATCGTGTGTTGATTTGTGTGAAGTGCGGGGCGCACACGGTGCGCCCCAATAGGCTGTCGGTCGGCCTGTCTCGCACGTGCAAGAGGTCGGGGACGGGGTCGGCGGGAGCGGGGAGTGGGGGGACGGAGCAATCACGGCGATGCTCGAGCAGGCTCGTCGGGGCCTGCACCCCAAGACGGGCGTGCCCCTCGGCCCGCTCGTCTTCTCCGAGCTCGAGGTCCCTGCGGCTCCCCCGCAGGAGCCCGAGCTCAATGCGTAAAGGGGGGTGAGTTGCACCTTCCTTCTTTTCCCTCTGAACTAAACCGACCACTTTCGTCCCAAAGTGGTCGGTTTCCGTTTTCCGTAGTTCGAGGTGTGCTCGTGATTCACTTGCACGCTCTCTGCATTGCTCCCATTGTTCCTCCTCCTCCTCCTCCTCCTCCGCCTCCTCCTCCTCCTCCTCCTCCTCCTCCTCCTCCTC